CTCGAACCAAGCGCTTGGTTATCAAAATCCATAATCGATTTCATCAAAAAAAATAAAAAAATAAAAAAATTTCTTTTTTTTCGAAAAAGTGATGACAATCAGAGATATCATCGCTACTATACAAGTTATCCTTTATTAACAAACAAAAATGTATTATACACACAGTAGTAAACAGTGCAAAACAAACTGTAAATAGGGCTATTAAACAAGCACATACATGCACACACGTACATGCACACGACGTTACGCACACGCAGGCATTCAACACCCCGAGTAACCGATTGTAACTGATCATCGGTTATTTGGGTCCAACCGATGATCGATTACGAAATTACAACCGATTGACAACACTACTACGAAGTTCACACGACGCCTGCTTCGTTTCACACTATCGCAGCACAAATGGACAACCAATTAACAACACTGTCAACAGCTTCCATTTTGGTATTTATGCATGGCTAAATGTTCATTTGTTCGAATTATATATCTTTGCTATTTGGTACTACTACAAACAAATTTAAACATCACTAGCTGGCCAGAGATATCTAATGAATTCCGGAAAAATACGCCCACTCCACCAAAATGTTAGTGAGAACAAATGGCTGTTTATCATCCGAAACTAACCACGCTACTCGATTGTTTGGCAAGTGAACGTAGTCGTGTGTCTGACGTCATTCCAGCATTAATCATATGTTAGCTTGGCCTGGTGGGCCTTGACGTGGAGTTCGGAAACAGGGACTGAGGAAGGACTTGAACCCAGAATGTAATGCGGTGCCATTACTCTTGTATAAACATGCACTTGCTCCCATTTACATTTCGATGGAGTGTGTGTTCCGCAGGAATTTACCAGATATCGCTGGGCAAAGTGTGTAGAACTAAATAGCAAAGCTATAATTCAGACAAGTGAACATTTAGCTACGCATAGATACCGAAATGGTGGCTGTTGGGCACCTGATCTATATTTTTGTTGTTTGTGGGTAGCGGCATTCTTGTTATAACTTGTATGTTATAGAGGACCGTTTGACTGGGATTTACAGATAATTATTAATTACTAATAATAGGCAAAAGAGAGTAGATAATATTAGGACTTTGGTAATAAATGCATTTCGTTTTTATTTACCATAATTTTATTATTGAAACGTTGCAAGTGTCTGTGGCTACTAGTAAAACTGTCGCTGCATAAAGGGGTCGTTGTCGTGTGCCCGATTATAGTACCCAAGGTGTCGGCGAGTATGTCGCCTACGCCTACTCCCTAACATAACCATGACAACATTGTTAATACCCACAGAGTTAGCATGTTATTTAACTTTATATTGCAGGTTTTGCCAATTTAGTACTGTAATAAATAGATATCAAAAATCAATCGAATGATCCCAAAAGAAATTGTTTATAACTACTATATTTAATTCGGTCTAAATTTTAACCCACTACCGGGTTTATTATTAAACTGGAATTATGACTTTCTAAAGCTTGTTCAAAACATGCATGTTTCTCACATTTAGCAGCATGCATGATGCAGTGATGCACGAACTCGCATGCAAAACTGAAAATGCTGCCAATTATTTCATCGGGTCAATTCAGGTCCATTAATGTTGCACTATCCAAGTAAGTGAACGAACAACTTCTGGATACGTCTTTTTCTTAAAGCTTTACTGAATCCAGGATTTGATATACAAACTAAGAGAAGATCCAATAATCAGCATGCAAGCTACCTGTGTTGCAGGTCTTTGCACTGTTGAGGAAAAATCTGCTGGCAGCATCTGGGATCTACTGTTGGAGTGTCTGGGATCATCTGATGGTTTGGAACATGTATCTTTAATCAAGGAGGTATTTTGTCCTTTTGTTGTATTACTCAAATTTTACAGTTGAAAACATTAGCATCTATATACATCTGGTTTTGCTTACTGGAATGGACAGGCTCCTCCCTACGTTGCGCAAACCAGGCGCGCCCGTCCCATTTGGGAAAACTCCCCCCCCCCCTGTTTCAATCGGTGCACCACGTTTAAATTACCTCCGGCCCGATTAAATTCCACCACAATAACAGTTTGACAGCGCGGGAATCGATCGTCAAGAATTCCCATTCGACCAGCCCCCCCCCCCCTACGCGTGTATTTGTACCGTACCACTAATGCGTAAACGTCCTACACTACGCATGCACTGCAGCCACACACAAGTACAAACAGGCACCCTGTCCCAAACCCAACCCCTACCGCTAACTGTAAACCCACTCGGCTATCTTATATACAAGTACCCCAAATACCGTCTATGGTGTGGTGGCGATTTTACGCATTAGTGGTACGGTAAAAAACACGCCTCCCGAACCCCCCTAGTTTCCCCTCCCCCCTACCCCTCCCCTCCCCCTCCCCCCTCTCCCTCCCCCTGTTTCAATTTCATCGTGGGGAGAACCCTGATGAATACACATGTTGATGCAGGTGGATAAAAAACTGAGATGTACCAGTGAAGAGGATTGTTTCCAGACTGAAACTCATGCAGACATTTGCCTTCAAGCACTGGCAGAAATATATTGTAACTGTGGATCCAGCAGAGTGGCATTGAGAAGAACCCTGATAAGGTATTAAAGGGATACATGACCCTATAGGTTCCTTGCATATTTTCAGTTAAAATAGGTTTAAGTTACGCTACATAAAATATTTCACTGTTCAGTATTCATTAGAAATATTGTTTTAAATATTGTTTTGAGACTAATGGCTGTATCATTGCTTATAACGAGGGTGGCGCCACTAGTAGCCCATTTACTTTCAAAGTTGCGCATTGCAACTTTTTGGCTGCAGGCTGCATGCAGACTGAGGGTGTTTCTTAGTTATTAATTTATAAGAGGAGAAGTTAGTGCAATATCTTTTATATTCAGTTATAATATAGACAAATTTGTCCTAAATTATAGATTGTTTGGTTAGATAGCAGTTAGTTACAAATATAGTTGCACTTTTGTGATTAGCCCTCAGTCTATAACTTCCAAAATAAATCGGCAAAAGCGCAACTTTGTCAAGGTGGCAACACAATCCCAGGGTGTCATGTCAGCGGCCAAAAATAACGATTTCGAAACTCTGTTGTTTTTTGACAAATGTTTAAATGCATGATAATAGAAATTTGTAGATATATTCTATTATTTATGCACTTACTATCATAATATACCCTAAAGTTCTAGGTTGTAGTATCTCTTGTAAGGAGTTTATGTAACTCATGAGTCATAATTTGTTCTTACATGAGAAGGTAGCGCATCGTTCCTCACAATTCATAATTGATGGTTCACGTTATTTTTGCAGTCTAATTCAAGGTTTACCAAGGTCCATTTTCGAACGTGCTCGAGAGCTGCTGGGGAAACATCTACTCTGTTGTCTAACAGTGTGCTCCGAAACTAATAAATGCTCTCATGGCTTGGACTTGGTTGTCAGCTGCACGGAGAATGGAAACAAGATTGGAGAGCAGTGTTTGGCTGACAACTTATGTGATGTTCTGCAGTGGTTATCGAGTGGCCTGCGAGTGTTCCTGCAGAACATGGGCTCTGATGCCACCCCTATGATGCAAACAGAGGCAGCCCACTCATGGCAGGTATCACTGAAGGTATCTATCCACATCGTCCAGAAACTATGCCAGGCCAGCGAAGCCCCCACTGTCCAAGGTCAAGAAAGCGGAAGATCAGGAAACACTATGCAACCCTCTTATGTGATCAGAACTGGTCACATTTCAGCAGTAATCGGAGAGATGCGAGATACAATTGTGACAGTTCTGAATCAGAGTTGTTATCTACTAGACAGCCACATCATGTGTGGAATGGCGCTGCCAGTGTTTCTAAGGGTCCTCGTCACGGAAGCCTCGTTTCCCACACTTGTCACAGACACACTGCAGAGTTTCTATAGCGAGAATTCTGAGGTAATGAAACTGATGATTTCAAACAGTCTTTACAACTGTTCTTGTATTTTTCTGACCATCACAATACTTACTGGTATTGCTTGCATAACAGCAAGTGTCTACAGTAAGAATAACGTGTCTTAGAACACTCTGTACATCTTTATCTTCACCTAAATCTACAACTATTGAGCCTGTATTTGTTAACTTCTTCTTGCCACAGTTACATGATGATGCCACCTGTTCTTTGCAAGGACCTTATTGTCGTACTGTTTTAATACGTCGAATCCTAGATCCTCTCACACCTGGCAGGAACATTTTATTTGTTTTGTTATATAACAGGTTGGAGAACCCTCTAAGCAAAACAGCCAGCACACTACCACGGAAGTTTCTGCCATTGGAAAGCTGTTTCAGGTGTACTCCAAAGTGCCGCAGCTTGCTATATGCAATGGCTTCATTGCACAGCTGACGTGTGATGAGCTCATGCATCAGCCTCTCCAACAGCAATGGCTCCTTACTCTTCTGTTCAGCCACATCATTCGACTTGACAGTTGGTAAGGAATTTCAAAAGGCGGAGTGAGGATAGTACATACATGTAATTGAGTCAGACTGTCAGGGACCTTATGTGAGAGGGTTAATCTTAGGTCGTAACATCATTCTTGGTTTTATAATAAACGGACCTAATGTGCTAATTTTCATGTTAATGTTCTTTTGTTTACTTCTCTAGCTTTGAAGTTACGAAGGATAAATAACTTCAGAAATATTGCACAGTGATAACATCGCTGATAATATCGCATGTGTGAGCCTATATTATAAATCTGTTTCGTGTTTCAGTCTGACAGATTTGATAGCAAAGACAGCTGTTTCCAGAGCTCTAGTCACCTGGACTCAGAGGGCGGTAGAGTGTACCTCACGACTTGAGTACCATGATGAGCTTAGCAGTGTCCTGCGTGGGGGTAATGCCATCAGTGATAGTCTACTTCAATATGTGTGGACAAACTGGGAGAGTCCTATGGACTTGGTGCGCTACAATGCTCAACTGGTGTTTAGGGGAACAGTGCAGTTGCACTTGGCTTCTGCTGACGAAGGTAAATAGTGGTGTTAGTAAATAGTACACGGCATCACAATATATGGTTGCAACAGTGTCTTTCATTTATACTCAATAATTTCCCAGATATGTGCTGATTAGAATAGCTTTATACACTTGATTAAATAATTGCATGCTTTCATGTACATTTAACATATTAATATTTTTAATGTGTGTCCCTAGTATTTTCTCAATTCTCTCAGTTTTCTCATAACACAATACCAGTTCGGTTTCCTCATGTCCATGTGCATGTGTATGTAGGCACTTTAGACAGTATTGCGTTTCAGATGCAGAGCAGAGTGTCTTCCTTCTGCAGCTTGCACGGGATTTGCTAGCCATGCCATGGCACATTCCTGCTAAGTACCGACCACTCGGTTGTGTCGTGGAACACATCGGAGCAGAGGCGACTCTCACACTGTGCCCTGGGATCGCAAATGAGCTGCTCAACTGTGTGGGTGAACTCCAGCTAGCACCCTTTGTGAGTGCAACTTGTGATTTCACGTGTGAAACTTAAATTGGCTACATCTAATTCGTGGTTGGAAGTGGAATGTTTACAGAAGGTTTAGTATAGAACTGGGGCTCGTTGTCAGAAGCAAAATTAGTTTTAACATTGGTCTTAACATTAACTTCACCTTGTATTTTAATTTAAGAAATTTTTAATTATACATGTATTTAATGGCTGTGTAGCAGTATTTGTTGCATCTATCTTGTTGGTGCTCTTCGTAAGATGGTTGGTGTAATTTCCTGCATATTTCAAGAAAATAATAAGGATTGTCAATAGATGGTTTTGACTTGTAATTTGGTAAATCGGTTAAGAATATGTATTGAATGAGTATTTATGATATATATATAGAGATAGTATATATCTATCTAATAGGTGAGTGAACTGCTAGAAACACTGTTCACAAGTCACAAGGAGCAGATGCAGATGGATAAGGAGAAAGAGCGATGGGAGCAGGCATGGGTTGTGCCAGTATTTAATGTTATTTGTACTGGCACCAAGAAACAGAGAGCTGCCACTGTAGAGGTATGAGAGTGTTTATGTACTGTGCCATGCATGTGTCAGTGGTAATTGTAGTAATAATGAACTAATTATAAGTGGCAGGGTTCTCCCTACGTTGCGCAAACGGGGCGCGTGCGCCCCGTTTGGGAAAACTCCCCCCCCTGTTTCAATCGTTGCGCCCCGTTTAAAATACCTCCGCCCCGATTAAATTCCACCACAATAAAAGTTTGCTAGCGCGGGAATCGATCGTCAAGAAGTACAATTCGACCAGGAAACCCGGCGCGTGTATTTTTTCAGTACCACGCATGCACTGCAGACAATACAACAGTCAACCTGTCCCACACCCAACACTAACTGTACACCGACTCGGCTATATCTTATATATACAAGAACCCTAAATACCGTCTATGGACATGGTGTGGTGGCGATTATACGCATTAATCAGTGGTACGGTAAAAAAAACACGCACCCATAGTTTCCCCCCCTCCCCCCTGTTTGAATTTCATCCTGGGGAGAACCCTGAGTGGGTAGTTTATGTAAACTTATTTCTCCTTTAATGTATATTTCTTTAACATTGCTAAACGTACTAATTAAAGGTTATCCTAAATAATTTGTGTATTATAATTGTTTTACATTCTAGAAAGCATTTTCTATATTATATTTGTCTCTTTTCCTTTCAGCATTTGCTTTGTAAGCTGCTGAAATGTTACCCTCGATCCTTGCGTGTAATAATGGATCAGCTTGCCAAAGACGATCATAGGAATAAATCGAATTATCTAGCAGCACTCATTACCTGCCTCAGAGCGTCTAGGAGCATGGGCTTACTGAAGGTAGATAGCGATGCTACAGGTGATGCAAGCACGTGGAATGGCATCATACAGGTAAGGCAGCTCACCATGTTATATATAACCTTCTTTCAAGCACCAATGTTCTCAAGTGCTATGCAGCTCTATTTTGAATGCCAGTAAGTGGTGAAATGTTCTTTGAATTTCACGTTGTGATGTTTCCATCTGTGGTAATGCATTACTGATACTAGAAGTAGTTAAATCAGTTGTGTCATAGTGATAGGGATGCTGGAGTAAGACTGCTGCTATAGGAAGTTTTATGTTTACGGATGTGAACTTTACATTACAATTGCATTGTTATTGTTCAGAGTACTCTACATTAATTTCAGAAAGTATTTTATTTTACGGTTGGCATTTTCTATTTCTGGAAGAAATGCTTAAATTTTTGATTGGGTCATTTTGGTTTATTAATTATTTACTTTTTTTGTGTTATTTGTTGCAGATGTTTCATTTGTATTCACGAAAGTAATGCAGATGTTTTATGCAAATTTCTGTTTTTACTATTGGTGTTTTCTGCTTCTGAGTGTTCTTTTCATTTCATGAAGTATTGATTATTCTTTTTGCAAGGTATTGTTTTCTTTTTAAGAAATACTCTTGCTATTCTGTTTTATAATTTTGAAGGGAAAGACTTGCCATTTTTGGTTGCATTTTCAAATTTATTTAAAGTGAATTGTTCCAAATAAAAATGAACATGACCTAAAAATGATATATGTTACAGAAAATATATGCTAACATATATATATAGTATGAAATCAGTTTTTGATTTGAAAAGGATAAAGCAATCTACTGCACCATTTGTAGCAAACAAACTGCTGTTCTAATATCTGTTCATTATCGCTATCGCTTCACAGGTTTCGACGTTGCGGGCAGCACTCTGCCACAGGGATGCACATCTGCGCACTGACGCCTTAGCTTTGCTCACCGACAGCCCAAAGACTACCGAGTCATTCACAGCTACAGACTTCTCACTGATCAAGTGTTTTTTGACCTACAATCTTAACAACCAAGCTGCTGCTGTCAGACAGGAGATATCTGCTCATGTGAAAAAGGTAGATAGGGTAAATCAGAAATTCACATTTTCACTTGTCTGTGGATGGAATTATGGGCTTTGATGAGCTTCACTAAATACAAATAATGATTGTTTATATCTATAAGTTTATCATTGGCAACAGATTAGCAAAGCAGTTGAAATAAGGAAATATTTATAAACTCTCATATAATGGCTATCCTATGGCAATATGAATTTCATCATTTAACCAGTAGAGTGTCTAAATAGTGTAATAGACACTGGTGAAGCAATCATATTTGAAAATTTTGAGTGGCAGAAGAAAACCTCATGTAGAAGCAGCAAATTAAAATAGTAGCCATTTGTAATTAGAAGATGTTTGGTTTTCAGTTGCTTTACAGGATGGTGGACAGCGGCCGGTGTTTGAAGAGGCAAGTGAGACAGATGAAATCAAACGACAGCCAGCGTGCAGCGAAACAACTCGAGCAGTACCGAAGCTTTCTCCAGTGGCTTTGCAACCTTCTCTTTGCGAGCCTTGTGCCAAGTTGTTCTTTCGCACGCAGAAACACTGCACTGCAGAGCCTCTCACTTGTGCATGCCATTATCGGCTTCTTCTCAGGAAACACCCTCCTCCTCCCTCAACCAACGTCTAATGAAGAGTGCAGTGGCCCTCAGCCTGTTGTTGGTTGCACAGCTATTCCTACTCGGTCCTATCCCAACCAGTTTCCTTTGGGAGTTTTGTGTCCATCTAACATACAGACACTATTGCAATGCATTTCGGACAGCTACGACGTGAACAAGAGTCTTGTTTTCAACTTACTGGTGGATTTCAGCGACAGTCTTCTTGGGTTTGATGATGAAGCTAGACTGAGGGACTTCTTGGTGGAGGCACTGCAGTTGGCGGGTGGAAACAGACCGTCAGGTACGGTGACAGCTAGCTATATTCTACGTCTGCTGGTGTGCCAGCCAAGGTTGTGTGACGTGATCTATGGATTGCATGCTCCTGCAGCAATAACAAAAGTGGCAGGTGAGGCAAAGCCTGCAGACTGTGAGGTGCACACTTGCTGCTCAGATGTGCTCAAAGAGAAGCGCTTCCTTTCATTGATTACACTTCTGCTGAATCGACTGGCAACTCACGTTGAAGTAGCAAGGAAAAGTTTACTCCACGCAGCCATTAGCCATCCAATCTATGGCATTATTCTTTGCATAAGGTATAGTTGTTGTTTTTTTAAATGGTAGCATATACACACATATAACAGTGAACTTATAATATTAAGCATAGATAACTCGAGTTGGTGTCATCATGGTTTCAAATTGCCGTTCTGCCTTTGTCATGCTGGTTGTGATTTACTAGAACAACTTTCCATATTTTTGTTTTCATCAGGCAGGTATTGGGAGATGTTAACTTCAAGAAATTAAAAGATTTAGATGTCTGGAGGAAACTCATCAAAGACCTTATTGAACAGTGCTTCACCATAGCTCAGCTCGTATCTCCTGTCATCACAAACGACTCTCCAGAAGGCCACCTGCCCATGGATATAGGTGGGTATTGATTTACAGAAGCAGGGATTACACAGATGCAGTTGCTGAAGCTAGATTGGGTTGTGTTTTCAAGCTAGTTCGTTACACAACCCTCAGGAATGGTGGGTCAGCAGAGAGGAGATATTGTATATTATAGTAGTTGTAGCTTTTAGAAACAATAACACAGGCTTGATTTGTGTCAAACGAGAGTAAAGGGAAGACGAATCAATTTGCAAATATATAAGTTTAAGATTCGTATAAGTTTGACATGTTGGCTGGTGTTGAATGATATGTACTTTCTGTTACACTCCAAGTGAGAGATTAGCTGCCACAGTTCTCTGATGTTTCAGACGATACAGTGTCACTAATGCAGCTAGTCACTGACATGCAATCTGTCCATGTGGCAAGCCCAGAAGCTCAGCAGATGAATGATAACCCACAGAGAGATGGAGGCCCTGCGAGTGACACTGCTAAGACTGGTGGTGTTACTAGCAGTGAAGGGCCACAGACGATGGTTGTCACTCCGCAAATGTTGTTGATCTGCAGCTGGAGAAGCATGAAGGAGATCTCTCTCCTCCTCGGTCAGATTGTACGCATGCTGCCTGTGGTGGAGAAGCATGACGCACCCTGTCTGCTGACTGTGCAACAGGTAGATGCTGAATTTGTTATAATGCTCCGTGATGGTGAAGTATATAATATTATACATGTACACGAGCATGAATGTAACTTCATTTCAATTACGCACCGAACTTTGAATGATATGTATTGCTGCGTCACAGGTTAAACAAATTGGGGATTATTTCACCAGCCAGTTGATGGAGTCCCGTCACCGGGGCGCATTTGAGGTTGCCTACGAAGGATTTTCTCAACTGTGTAATATGCTATGGAGGTAAGATGTAATTTCACTTGCTTTCTTATGAGGCATCATTAAAACAATATCAGTCAAACCAGCTGCGACAAACATCTGTGTGTAAAACACTTTTTTAAATGCATAATTATATATTACATTTCTGTTGCTGGCATTTTTTACTGTTCATTTATTGCAGATGTCCAGTGGCTGGTCTGCACAGCTTGCCTGATACCTGGCTAACAGAACTGCTTGCTGATATTCAGTCTAACAGTCTTGTATCAAAACTGTGCTCTACAAGGTATAAAATAATAAAAAAATCTTAGTACATTTAAATTGAACGTAACTACACTGTGATTTCACAAAATGACAAATAGAGAATTAAGTTGTGTTTATCACTATATGTCTGGGAAGAGTCAAATAAAACAGAATAAAACAGAAATACAGTAAATATATATACTGCAGTTTACTGTATTCTTTTTTTTCTTTTTGTGAAACCCTTTTCTTGTTTATTTATGTGCATGTTGTGTAGCATTACCACTAAGTGTATGTTTATGTGTTGTAGGCGGAGTGCGGGGCTGCCTTTCCTTATGCAGGCACTGGTCAGTACGGAGCCAGTCGCTACAAGACATCTGTGCTTCAAGCGCACGATGACACAGTTGCTGGCCATGACCCTACCTGCAGGCTACTCATCAACAAACAGCTCCGGTGAGAGGTTGTATACACAGTTCTATGAAGTTAGCGTGTATGCGATTCTATGTTTAACAAATGCTGTTATGTAATTTGTTAGGTGTTACTTGGCTCTACTCGAATTACTTAGTTTTGTCATCCACTGTATAATCCAATATATCCATATCAGGGTTGCTGGTATCAGCTGCTATTGTGTAAGTACTGGTCGATCAATTTACTGGCCTTTTAATTAAGCCAATTTACTCTCAGAATACTGGAACACCACGGCGCACGTGCATTCACTGAACATTCTGCGAGCGCTGTTCCGTAGCATGCAGCTGGGAGAGCAGGTGCTTTCCTATGCCGACGATGGTCTCATCGCAGCCTTGCTAGGCGGGCAGTCCAATAGCTGGAGTGTAAGTCATAAATATGCATGTCCCATCCCATGCTCTATACATGTGTAGGGCTCGCATAGTGTGAGAGAGCGCATCTCAATTCTCTAGCTCATATCTGTTCACATTGCTCTAATATTTTCCAGCTCCGATCATGGTTCTTGCGTAGTTTGAAAGAGTAATCTAGCATGCACATGTCTTCTTGTTCAAACTAGTATGATCAATGCATGTTTTAGTATACGTGAAATGCGTTAGTAGCTCATATACATGAGTTTTTATAACATAGTACGCATATGTAGCTATATGCAACAGACAATGCGTTGGAACACAGTTAACGAGCACTGTATTACTAGTGTTTGCTATTGCGCATAATCATAATAAATCGATCATCTAATTTCTGTCGCATGTTGATGCAGGTGAGGAACTCGGCTACCATGCTCTTCAGCACCTTGATAACGAGGATATTCGGAGTGAAGCGCACGAAGGATGAGACGTCGCGCAAGAACTGTCTGACTGGTCGTGTGTTCTTTACACGCTTCCCAAAGCTGTACACGTTCCTACAGGAGAAGCTTGGTGAATGCACAGCAGGCATAGACAGGTGGGGCAGCTGTCGTATCTAGAATCACAGAAAAATTTGCTGTAGTTTTTAAACTGTGTTGGCAGTTGTTAGTCATGTTGTTCAGTTCTCGTATAAATTTTACTGTTATTGAGATTATGATAAAACATTTGCAGTTACGGGAGCAGAATTTCTGTTAATGGTTGTCACTCTGCGTGTGTTTCTAGCCATGCCGCTACAAGTGGTCGTCGCATTGCTTTTGCAGCTCCGGGAGACTGAACCTACAACCAGCACTCTACCCACTGCTGATGGTTATCTCCAGACTGTACCCTTCTCCGCTCCAAGGTATCGACACAAGTCTGAGCCTAGCAGTTTTCATCCCACTAGTCAGGCGCTGTGCGTACAGCTCTGTGTTGAAGATGAGGGAGATGGCTGCAAGAGCCTTGGTGCCACTCATCACCGTTGACATCTGCCAGCCGACGTTCACGGAGCTCCTGGTCACGCTCCCAGCGCAGCCGTACGTGATGTCACAGAACTTCGTTCATGGCACCCTGCTGCAACTCAGCTTTCTGGTAATTCTTGGTAATAATGTGTGAATAATTCTTGTTAGTTCTTTATAAGTTGTTGTTGTAGTAGTGCCACGCTTCAGGCCTAATTTACATTACGTTAATAGACATGTTCAAGGTTAAATTGCAGCTTATTAGGGCAATGTTGTTACTAGCACCCACTTTTGGCACCTGTCTGCATCCACTTTCTGCACCCCCTGTCACCCAAAAAGGCAAGAGTACAATTATTAAGTTAAAGTAGGTTAAGTGTAAGTTAAGTTAAGAGCATAAGCTGATCGACCAACATTGGGTTACACAGTAGAGCTGTGTCTTGTTGAGACTGCAGGGCTCCACTTTGCATGTATAGCATGTAAAAACATGCGACAAACGTACGTTAACTCGAAACGCAGGTGCGCCACTCAGCAGAGCAGAGGATACATCTGCCATCGGGAATCTTCAGCGGACTCCAGCGTGTCTTCTGGCTGGCCACTAGAGCGAATGCGTGTCTGGTGACACGTACCACTTATCTCGAAGTTGTGCGAGATGTTCTCACTTATGACCTTGTCGCCGATCACCAGGCTGTTGCGCTCCATAAACAGGAGCTCAGAGATGCCACGGAGCAGCTGGTGTTTGTTGAGTTGGAATCCCACGGCAGCTGCCTGCCGAACACACCCATGCTGTTGAGCTTTTATACTACAATCACTGACCTCTGCTGGATGCTGGGCGTAAACCAGGCATCTGCTGCCTCGGATGCGCTTGGTGTAGGTGGCGTTGCTATGACAACGCAGCATCCGGGGTTGAAAAACGAGTTAGACATAGTTGACCGTCTCCTTGGATCGCCTTTCTACGAGGTTCGCTTGCACGTATTGAGGAAACTCAGGGCTGTGGTTGACAGTGGGGAGACAGCATTGGGAGAAGCTGGTTGCGAGGTGGTGTTCGAGCATGCCTGTGTTAGAGAGGAGCCGAGCAGTACATTGAAGGCAACTCTGCTGCACTCGGATACAGTGAGGAACAGACTAGTGCAGCTGGCTCGGATGGAAACCAACCATGCATGCATCATTGAGGTAAATATGTAACATGCACTATGAGAGTTTTGAGTATTCCTTATTAACAGCCATGTTATTTATTTGTATGTTGCCAATGTTTTTGGCAGACATTATGTTATTATTTTTACACTTACATGAATCTGCATTATTTGAAAACGTTTGTATGGCTTTTACATTAAATAGCTAATATTGTCAAGCTTTGAATACATGTATCGAATGCACTTTTTTCTATCACCGCTTTTATTGGTATTGATATGCAGGACAATTATTCTATGTTCATCATCAGTACTAAAATACTGTATTTTACCATGCTATGTGCAGGTGTATTATCTGCTGGCAGTGTTTCCAGTAGAATCTTCATTTGCCTGGCTACACGATGGTTTGCAACTGTCCGTCACCGAGGTAATGCATGTAGTGATGGAGCGAGGGAAAACAGCTCAGCTCGATGGTGTCCGCTCGGCATTGCTCTGCTTTACCGCTGTGCTCATGCCACTGCTGTGTGCTCAGGTAATCCTCACAGTTATCGATAAGGCCATCCTTCAAAAATTCTATGTTTGCTGTCCCCCGACCCATGATTTTTTTAGTGGGTAGGTAGGTAGGTCTTTTTTTGTGAGGCATAATAGTTATTTTAAGTCTGTCCTCATGTTTGCCACACATGCTTTGTGTTTCAGTCTTAACTATGAGGAATGTAAAAAAGAAAGAAAAAAAAGGAACCCAAAATGTAAAAAAAAAACTTGGGTCGCGGCCATTTTCCTGGGTCGGTCGGAGGACAGCAAACATAGAATTTTTTAAGGATGGCCTAATGCTAGTTGAGTGAGGTAGTGTGATGTGATTGCTGCAAAAGCTCACTTCTTAAACAGGTGGGGGGCATATAGCTTTGTTGCTAGGTACTCTGGTGGCTAGGGCTCTGTCTACTGTTGAGCTCTGGTTAAATTATGTGAAAACTTATGTGGGACTTGACATCAGTAAACAAAGCCGTCACACTCTTTTGAGCTGTGAGACCAATGCTGGGTTCAGTGCTACATGGGAATTTTCCATCTTTAATGTGGCCCACAGTGATGGTTCAATGGTAGAGTGCTCGCCTCGCATGTGGACGGTCGGGGGTTCAACTCCCGGCCGGGTCATACCAAAGACTTGAAAAATGGTACACATGGCTTAGCCTTCAGCAAATAGAGATAGAGTGTGGCAAGTTAACTCGCAGTGCTACCAGTGGACTA